TTGAAGATACATTTTTTTTGTTGGTGGTGGTGGAGCTTAAACTCTGGGCCTAGATGCTGTCCCTCAGCTCTTCAGCTCAAGGCTAGCACTCTACCACTTGAGCCACAGTGCCACTTCCAATTTTCTGGTGGTTAATTAGAGATAAGAGTCTCATGGACTTTCCTGCCCAGACTGGCTTTGAACCATGATCCTGAGATCCCAGCCTCCTGAGAAGCTAGGATTACAGGCATGAGCCACCAATGCCCGGCTTGAAAATATATTTTTGAGACATAAATTTTCTCCTAGTATATGTATATGTATATACACACACACATCTATTAGAAGGAAGTTCTCATGTATGTATGTGTGTATATAAACCACACAACAAAGCTGTATGCAGCTATAGCAAAGGAAGGAAGGAATACTGAGAATGGAATGATCTCAACAATATATCATTTACAAAAGGCATTTCTAGGGCTGGGAAGGTGGCTCAGTGGTAGAGCGCTTGCCTTGCATGCATGAAACCCTGGGTTCGATTCCTCAGCACCACATAAACAGAAAAAGCCGCAAGTGGCACTGTGGCTCAAGTGGTAGAGCACTAGCCTTGAGCTGAAGAGCTGAGGGACAGCGCCCAGGCCCAGAGTTCAGGCCAGGCCCCTCGACCAACCAAAAAAAAAAAAAGCATTTCTACAGTATGGGGCCTTTTGTATATAAAAGAGGGACTTGAGATTGTATATTTAGTTTATATGTGCTAATGCTGAAAGAACTGGTTTCTGGGGGGAGGAGGGGTGCAAGAAACTGGATGGATAGGGAGTGAGAAGTTGGAGGTGTGACGCTGAAGACATTTTGATGTATGGGGCTGTGTGGGAAGCCCTGTGGAAGTAGTGCATTCAGGAGATGGAGGAGTTGTACCAGCAAGGGTTAAGTCAGCCTCGCTGCACAGCCAGCCCTGCCTCCCCAGCTTGGCTCACATGCAGGCATGGATCTCCCTCCCTCCAGATGAACAGAAAAATAAGCCCCACATGCCAGCTGCCTCTTACTCAGAACACGGCCCTACCTAGCCACACTGCAGCCTCCCTGGGCTCCCTGGTTAGAATGTTAGAAGGGGGGCGAGGGGGAAGATCAGCTTCTCTCTCCACCACTTGGTCATGTGCTCAGGACCTTGCAGGGTGTGAGGAGGTGGGCGGGGGTGGTAAGTAAGGACACAGCTTTTTTTTTTTTTCTGATCGTGGGGCCTGAACTCTGGGCCTGGGCGCTGTCCCTCAGCTCTTCAGCTCAAGGCTAGCACTCTACCACTTGAGCCACAGCGCCACTTCCGGTTTTTTCTGCTTATGTGGTGCTAAGGAATCGAACCCAGGGCCTCATGCATGCAAGGCAAGCGCTCTACCTCTAAGCCACCTTCCCAGCCCAGGACACGGCTTTTGTAGGCATCAGAGGTGGGGCTGAAGGCATGCCATGGGAGGCTGCGCCATCTTGCCCTTGCTCCCATGATCCTCTCTGCCTTTTCTGCCTGCCCCACCTCTGGCTGTAAGCTTACTTCCAACACCCAGTGGTCATACTCTGACCCTGTCTTTCATGATTCTGACTAGAAATATCCCTGTGGGTCTTGGCTGCAAAAGCCATGTTTTTCTAGTCAGAACTCAGCCTTGTCCTTTGGGAACATGGCTAGATGGTCTGAGAGGTCCCCATTCCAGAGATCCACCTATTAGCTACCACTAAAGCCCTCACCTGGACCCTGGGTCATCAAAAGAAAAGCAGCAGGCTGAGGATAGAGCACTTGCTTACTGAGCATGCATAACAAGCTGGGTTTGATTCTGAGCCTGAGAGAGGAAGGAGGCAGGGAGGGAGACATTTGTGGAGGGAGGAAGTCAGTCTTGAGAGACAAGGAAACTAGTAAAACATGGACCATCCCAAAATGGTTACACTTCCCCCCACCCTCCATAACCACAACTCTTTAAGCTTTTATGTACTGGTAAATACAGGGCCTGTCAGCCATCCCCAAATTGAGGAAACGGGGTGAGTTGAACTTGAAGCTTTCTAACCTAAGACACTGAGTCCACTTGGTAGACCCCAAGATAACACTACAACCACTCAAACTGCTTCCCAATTTCACCACGCTCGTGACACAGAGCCCAGCCCCCTTCCCAAGACAGGTCCTAGCCGCACAGGTGAGCATTGTAGGAGAAGATTGCATGGGTGGTAACTGTTAAAGCCCCTGGGACAGTGTGAGGATCCCAGGGCGGGGAATGGCTGGAGGAAGCCCCTTGAAGCCTAGACGCTTTTGGGGGAAATACGGAGGTGAGTAGTGCAGAAGGAAGGACGTGTTTGGGGCAAGTTCATGGTACAAGATGATTTTCCCATGCTCCTGGATCTAGAAGCCAAGAAAGATGACTTCTTTGCCATCCTATGGGAGTTCACCGTCCCTCTGGCAACCCTGATTTGGCCAGGAAGCTGGCATTCTCTCCGTCACCTTTGCGTGGCCAGAGCTTCTCCAACTTCAAATAGCTGAAAACAAGGCAGCCACGGCCCTGGGTCCAGAAAGACAGATGACAGGGCTGAAAGGGAGTGGGCCTGCGAAGCAGGAGGGGATCCAAGGGCCTGCTTCCTCCCTCCCAGATCCTGAGACAACCCCTCCAGCCCCCAAGATCTACCACACAGCTGTGTGTTATCCATGCTGTGACAGCATGACAGATATGCTCTCCTCCCCATCCCTCAAGGGGAACTCCCCCCCCCCCAATACCAAGGCACACAGGACCAACACAGCCAGGGTGCCTCACAGCCTAACAAGCCCCACTGGCTCAGACTTAAGGCTGTAAGCTGAGTTGTCAATGAACACCTTGGAGAACTAGGTTCAGCGATCCAAAATATAAGGCAGGTTGGGAAAACCTCCTGGGTTGTGAAGGCCAGAGCACTTGCATGCTCACACGCATTCTGTCTCTGCCTGCCTCTCTCTCCTAGAGAATGTCTAACTTTTCAACCCTAGACTCCCTCCCCCTTCCATTTTCTGCATCAGCTGGAGAAGTAAAAGCATGCTCAGAAGCACCCCTGCAGCTAGTCTACCTGAAATCCAATCTAGAGCCTTATTGCTTGGGTACTTCTCACACCCACAGGCAACTCCTGACAAGTTCTAGACTCACTGTAGGGTCTGCCTCCTGGAGTCTGCACAGAGATTACCTGTGTCCAGGTTCCTTACTCCATCACGGGGGTCCACTCTATCTTTTGAGACTGATAACATACTCCAGCCAAGCACAAGAGACAAAGTGGGACCAAGACCAAGGTGTTGGCCAGAAAGACCAGGTGGCTTCTCTCCTCTTAGCTGAGAGGCTTAGCTTTGGGTTGCCATCTACCTGCTGAGCATAGAAACCCCATATAGAGGGGCTGGGAATGTGGCTTAGTGGCAGAGTGCTTGCCTAGCATGCATGAAGCCCTGGGTTCGATTCCTCAGCATGACACGCACAGAAGAATCCAAAAGTGGCACTGTGGCACAAGTGGTAGAGTGCTGGCCTTGAGTAAAAGAAGCTTAGGGACAGGGCCCAGGCCCTTAGTTCAAGCCCCAGGTCTGGCAAAAAGAGAGGGGGGGGGGGGGGAAGGAGGGAGGAAAGGAAAGGAGGAAGGAAGGAAAACAAATCCCATATAGTGACTTGAAAAGCAGGTAAGTCAAGATAGCCGGGCGCTGGTGGCTCACGCCTGTAATCCTAGCTACTCAGGAGGCTGAGATCTGAGGATCGCGGTTCAAAGCCAGCCCGGGCAGGAAAGACCGTGAGACTCCTATCTCCAATAAACCACTAGAAAACCGAAGTGGCGCTGTAGCTCAAGTGGTAGAGCGCTCGGCTTGAGCTGAAGAGCTGAGGGACAGCGCCCAAGCCCAGAGTTCTGCCCCACGACCGACAAAAAAAAAAAAAAAAAGAAAAGCAGGTAAGTCAAGAGTTAATTAGTAAGCATTTCCTTAGCTGTTCATTTATACATCACTGATGGAGAACTGAATAGATCCTAAGAAACAAACTAGGAACTGCATAACAGCTAACGAGAAATGAAGCATTGTGAGCATTTTTCCATGAAGAACTATTGTTGACAGGATCCTCATTTGCACGCAGCTCCCTAGAAGCTGAAGGAAGGCAGTAGAGGGACATACCTGTCCCACCACATTCCGCCATCCACACCCTGCGCGTTATGTGTGGAGCACCATGAACGCATCCAGAACCTCTACCGTCCTGCACCCTGCAGTGCCTCTGCCCCATGCTTCCACAGTAACCATGGCAGTCCTCAGAGGCAGGGCCTGAGCCCTGGCAGATGGTACCAGCTGCCAGGCTTCTGTTCGCTCCACACTTGAGCTAAATATTTCCACATAAAATGCTCCTTGTTGTGGGCCTGCCAGCACCAGACGGGGAAAGAATGAGCATCCACCAGGCTGGATGGGCGGCGGCGGCAGCAATGACATCCCTGGGGCCTCAGAATCCCATGATCGCCAGATCCCAGCCAGAAGCACACCCAGGCGCCAAATGGAGGTCTTCTCTTCCAGAGACCAGGAAGATAGAACATACCAAAAAGGGGCTTCAGAGTCTTGGGTGATGCTCCAGCAAGCTCAGAGTTTGGAAAAGTGAAGCTGAGAGATTTGGCCCATCATCAACAACAACATCAACATCATCAACATCATCATCATCATCATCATCATCATCATCATCATCACTCTCTGCAAGATGCTTTCTGTGTATCATTCCAGTTAAACCTCACTACCATGAACAACATACTTAGGCTCATTTCCACTGTCTCCACAGGAAACCAAGGCTCTAAAAGTCTCACTGAGACACTTGCTCACAGTCATTAGCCAGAAAGTGGGATGTGAGGTATACAGCTGTCTATGGGAACAGAGGCCTGTGCTCCCTCCGTAAAGAACCCCCCCCACACACACACACACAAGTGCCAAGGCCCAGGTCACATTCTGAGGGGATTCTCCCCACCCTTGCCCCGCCACGCCAGTCCCCAGGACTTGCCTCCCAAGGCCCCGCAGACCCCATTCTTACATGGCCAAAGGGATCCAGGTGGTTGTTTGTCAGCTTCAGCTTCTGGAAAGAGACCAACTGCCGCATCCAGTGGGCCCCTGTGGCAGGAGAATCAGGGTGGACGTAGAGCCTTCCTGGCATGGCCGGCTCAGCCTTTCCTGCCACCATCCTACCAATAAAGCAAATGGAGGGAGGAGTTGAGTGCACTGGGGTCCTGCTCCCCTCTGAGAGCCAACCCCAGTGCCAAGAGGAAAACACTCTGCTGTTCCCATCACACCGCTGTATGGGTCAGGAAAGGAGGCAGGGCAGAGCGGGGGGCTGGGGAGCAGACAGCAGTTCTAAACCGCTTCACTCCAGGAGGAAGTGGCAGATGATGCCAAGCGTGACTTAGATCTGAAGGACTGAGGCTCATCACATAGATTGCATGGCACTTCTGTATGTGTAGTATATTTATAATTCTTACTTTTTCTTGGCAGTACTGGGGATCAAACCCAGAGCCTCATATATGCTAAATACTATTAAGCTATACTCCAGACACTATACATTTATACATATATTTTATTTTTTTATTTTTACTTATTTTGGATTGGTCCTGAGGCTTGATCTCTGGACCTGGATGCTGTCCCTAAGCTCTTATGCTCAAAGCTAGCACTCTACCACTTGAGACACAGCTCTACTTCTGGCTTTTTTTTTTGGATTGGAGAAAAGAGTTTCACAAACTTTCCTGGGCTGGCTTTGAACCCCAATCCTCAGATCTCAAGTTTCCTTAGTAGCTAGGATTATAGGCATGAGCCACTGGTGATGGGCTCTATACTTGTAATTTTAAAATGTTATAAAATTGTACTATTGGAGGGAACTTATCAAAGAACCTAAACAACTTTTAAATTGTTTGCCCCCCCCCAATAAAAAGGTATGAAATGAATTGGCAGCTGGCCCCTTTGTTAGAGTCAGCTCTGAGTTCTAATCTAATGTGCAGAGAGAATAGAAACATAGCTAGTACCTTGCCACCAAATCTGTCCCCATTTCTGTCCCCATGGAGCCCAGGACCTTAGCTTGCTTGCTTATTTAAGTTTATTTATTTATTTTTGTCAGTCATGGGGCTTGAACTCTGTGCCTGGGTGCTGTCCCTCAGCTCTTCAGCTCAAAGCTTGCACTCTACCACTTTGAGCCACAGCACCACTTCTGGTTTTCTGGTGGTTAATTGGAGATAAGAGTCTGTCAGACTTACCTGCCCGGGCTGGCTTTAAACTGTGATCCTCAGATCTCAGCCTCCTGAGTAGCTAGGATTACAGGCGTGAGCCACGGGCACCCAGCTAGCCTGCTTTCAAGCAGACATGGCTTTGAACTCCAGGGGTGGACAAGATCCTATAGAGTTGGCCTCCTGAAAAGCAGCCCATCCCTCACTTACCTGGCCCCCAAGTTGGTTTGGCCAATTTGCCAATCATCTCCCCAGGCCCTTGCCAAAAAGTCTACCACCTACCCCCAGGCAGCAGCCTCACTCCATGTGAATGTGGAAGTTCAACCTGAGAGGGGAACACTGCAGGCAGCAGACATGAGGGGAAAACCAGAAGGCAGTCACCACAGGCTAGACAACAATCCAAACCATTAAAGTCCCCAGAGAGGGGCTGGGAAGGTGGCTCAGTGGTAGAGTGCTTGACTTGCATGCCTGAAGCCCTGGGTTCAATTCCTCAGCACCACATAAGCAAAAAGAAAAAAGCCAGGGGCTGGAACGGTGGCTCAGTGGTAGAGCGCTTGCCTTGCATGCCTGAGGCTCTGGGTTCGATTCCTCAGCACCACATAAGTAAAAAGAAAAAAGCCAGAAGTGGCGCTGTGGCTCCAGTGGTAGAGCGCTAGTCTTGAGCTGAAGAGCTGAGGGACAGTGCCCAGGCCCAGAGTTCAGGCCCCACGACCGGACCCCCAAAAAAAATTCCCCAGAGAAAACAGCCCACACCCTCCTTCTTAGTGAGACACCAACAGAGTCTAAATCCACCACCAGGTGTTCCTGTTTACAACCCTCCAACATACAGTCATCAAAGCCTGATTGTCCACCACTTGGGGAGAGTGAAGACCTATGAAATCCAACAAACACTGAGTGCCAGAGCTTGTTTTCAGTCCCAACCCACCTGCTTCAGGTGGACAGACTATGGTCAGTTCTCAGCCCCTATAGTCTTAGGTGAAGGCAGCAGACCTTAGTGAAGAGCTGGCAATCACTCAGGCTGATTAGGAACTCCCTTTATGGCCTTAGGGAGCACCAGGTGTTTTCTTTGGGGGGTGGGGAGGGAATTGAGGGAAGGCTCTTACCATTTGTTGTCACAAAACTTATAGCGATGGTCATCTGCAGGGACGATGTCAATAAGCAGGATATACTTGGTCTTGGGGTTCATGCCTGTGACTTTAACCTTGTAGCTGGGGAACATCCTCCTGAGGGAGCCCAGGGGTTGGGGGTGGGCAGAGCACCAGGAGAAATAGCACAGAGTTAGTGAGGGGGCAGACCAGAGCCCTTTTAGCAAGAGGTAGCTGTGGTTTGCACAGCCTGCTTCTCCCTCTGCCCTCGCTGTCATTCTGAGCCCCTATCACCCATCAGGCTTGTCCAGGAAAGCAGTTTACACCTTGTCCCAAATTCCTGTCTCCTAAGATTGGCTGTGAGCCACTGAAACATAAGAGACCCTGGTCAGGATTGTGAGAGAGTTTTCAGTTCTTGCCTCAATTCCTCTTCCGTCCTTGGCTACCATACACAGCATATGATGTGCCAGCCCCTGCCAGCTGCTCCCAGAAGCCACAAGATGCTACCTTGTGGTCATGTTCAGATGGAAACCTTCAGACTTTTAACCAACTCACAGACAACCAGAAGAATGCTGCTGAAAACCTTGCTAGGTTTGGATTCTTCAAGCAAGCTTCATATGGGGGAATGCCTCCCTTGGGCTGAGCACCCTAACTGGAAATCCAAGTCAGTCCAGGAGCCCCACAGACAACAATGTAAAGGATTCTGAAACCACCCTGCTGTGGTCCACAGTCTAGCCCCACCTCTGACCAGCTTGAGGCCTTGGGCAACTTGCTCGGGTCTCTGCCTTGGTTTCCCTTGCTCCAAAGTGAGGAAAATACCATTAGCTCTCAGAGATTGCTAGAAGGGTTAAATAAGATTTATGACCATTGCCACAGCCCCTGCTGAGTTCCACTCTCACAAGTCAGTGCTACCGCCTACTTTGATGCAAATCATTCACCACCACCAAGAACAACAACAACAACAAAAAACACCTTTTTGGAATCCCACCCTGAAACTATCCAAGACCTCAAGGCTTGAAAACCTTCTAGAAAAAGGCATTCCCCCCTCAGCAACTAGGGACACCCATGCAGCCATGTGTTTAAGCATGCCTAGCTCTCTCCCCTGCTCACCAAGTCCCAACACTGGACTTGACCAGTGGAGGAGAGACAGAATTTACAGTCCTCCTCAGCCTCCAACCACCTCTGACTCAAACCTGACTGAAGCCACCAGAAAAACCATAACCAGCCCTCTGAGCTGGTCTACTGGTCAGCCAGTCCACTCCAAGAAAGCTATCCGCTCTCCGCCAAGACACCACCTCAGACAGATCTGAGTTCCTCCTTTTGTGGATAGGGAATACCAGCTTACCTGGATATAGGAAGGGCTTCTAGAAAGAATCAAGGCCTCCAGAAGCTGGCAGACCCTACAGCAAACCCCCTCCAGGACCCTGAGGCGGAAGGTGAGCTCACTGCAGAGGGGAAGTAGGGTGGTGTAGGCCTGGGCTCCCAGGCGCATGTGCGTATGCGTGCGCACGTGGTGCCAATGCGCATGTGTGCATGTGTGCGTGCCTGGAGGGCGGGGGAGTTCTAACTGCAAGTCTAGGGACTTATAAACTGTGTGGAAGAATTTGTCTCAGATGTCAATTGAAAGCATTTTCAAATGTCTCCCCACCCCCTCTCTATGGGGGAAGTGAGAAGGCTCAGGAGCCCAGTCCTGCCTGCCTCCTCCAGCTCACCAGCCCCTGCCGGGCTGGGGGCACAGCTGGAGCCCGCACCACCCTCTTTCCTGGCCCTGCTGTTCTCCTGGGGGACCTAAAGCCGAAGCTGGGAGAGCAACAGCTGCCTTCCCCCTCCCTGGGGGAAGGCCAGGAATCCTGTCCCCTCCAGGCCACCATTTTGTAGCTACTACAGAAACAGCCACAAAATGGGGAGGCCCTGGCTGAGCTGGAGCTGGCACGGGGGGGGGGGGGGGGGTGCACTTTGTCTCGTTGTCCTATCGTCCATCACTCCAGGTAGAGCAGCAGAGGGCAGGCTGGAGTCCACAAAGGCAGGGTGGGGGTCAGGATGAAATGCTGGCCACGACTTCACCTATCTGCCCAAGTGAGGTGCTGAGGGATTTTTGTCCTTGCGCTCCTCTTCCATTCACTTCAGAAGCCCCAAAGGCCGGGCAGAAGTTAAGTGCTTCCTAGAAGGCTTCTCAGGGGCCTGTGCTCTGCATACATAGCTGGTGTCTTGTCATTTGGCCCCTCCTCGAACCCCAGGCTGGACCAGATCCCTCCCAAGAACAGGTGTGCAAGAAAAAGAGAGTGCGTGCAACCTCTGCCCCCAGGCAGGGCACCCAGGGAATCCGGTCTGGGTGAGAAGTTCAGGGGCTCTCTACTAAAGGTTGAACTGGCTGGGGGGGGGGGCAGCGCTCCCCTCCCCCTCCCCCCCTGATCATGGAGACAAATGGCCCGATGGGACTGCAGCAGTCCAGTTGGGGGAAATCCAGCCTGGGTGGCTGCAGGAGGCTCACACGGAGGAAAGACAGGCCTCTCCCTACCCTCTGAGAACCCCAAGCGCTCAGGTTGGAGCCCCAAGAGTTACTCATCAGGTCAGGCGGCCACAGAGGCCTGGGGAGGTGAAAGGGGCGACTTCCTGGGGGGCTCTGCTGGCAAACCACAGGTCCTCACTAACGCAGCAGAGGAAACGCTGGCGTGAGCGGTGTGTTCCGTCTCTAACTGAAGTCGGGAAACGTACCTGAGACCCCACCACCCTATGGGGGAAAGCAACGCCTCCGCGGGCTGGGGAGGGAGGGAGGAGCAAGAAGGGAGGAGGCCCCGACGGCGCCGTCCGTGCGTGCAGGCTGAGCGGACTCCGGCAGCGGAACCCCCGGCTCCCAGCGGGCTCGGCGGGCGCCCCAGGCCCCTGCTCCCCTCCAGTCCCCGGGCCTCCGCCCTTCCGCAGCGCCCCCACACCCTTGGCGGCGTCCCACGCGCCGGCTGGCCGCGCCACGCGCCCCCCCGCGCGCGGTCCGGGCTCCCCCGCGCCGCCGCAGACGCAGGGAGCGCGGAAACGGCTCCGGCCGGGGACGACACGAGCGGCCGCTCCGCCGCCCGCCGGGCACCCGCGGAAAGCCCTGCGGCCCCCCGGATCCAGGGGGAGCCACTTGGGAAGATTGCGGGCCCCGGGGGGCCCGTGTCGCCTTCTGAGTACTCAGAAGTGGGTTTAGCAGGAACTGCGGAGACGAGCCTCTTCCAGTGGCCGTGCGTGTCCGAGGCTGGCTCGGCCCAAGCAAGGAATCGGGGCGTTTTGATTTGGGCCACAAATCTGTAAATGCGAACTCGGTGCCGAGAGGAGACGCGCGGTGATGGCTGGGCGCTGGGCGCCCCAGAATTATCCAATTCAGGGCGCTGACTTTTACACCACCCCCAACCCTGGAGGGCTCCGAGAGGACTAGAATAGCGACCCCAGGGGTCTGCTTAGATTTCTTTTGTTTTGTTTTGTTTCTGCCCGGGGAAGCCCCAAATCCCAATCCCACGGTAGCCCCAATCGGGAGAGGACGCTCCAGAAACGACTACACACGTGCATTCCCTTACAAGCAGGTGGTAGAAAAAGCACTCTCCGGAGGTCCCACCAACCCTAAGGGGTGGGAAGTCTGGAGCCTTTGGGGGCGCAGTGGTGAGTGGAGGGCGCACCGGAGGGAAACAAGGAGACTGACGCTATTCTCTTCCTTTAGAAATGGACCCGTGCTTACACCATGTGTTCATGGAAGGCTATGGAGTTGTAAAACTAAGATTTGTGTGCTGTTCTGCAGAAATATTCAACTTCAATAAAACCTACATGGAAAAGTGTACATGCTAACACACACACACACACACACACACACACACACACACGGGCATGCTTTGGAGCGCAGAGTCTGAAGAGAAACAAAATGCGCTACAGGGAAAAGTCTGGGGTCCACCGGAAACCCCACCCATCTTTCCAATTCTAATGTCTTTGAGCCCAATAAGGTTAGGTTAGCGTAGGGCTGCGGGTGCTGCTCATACTAAGCCCAAACCCGTTGTAGCCAAATGATTTCTGAGAGCAGTAGCTCTCAATAGATTCCCACTTCACACACACACACACACACACACACACGGGGGGGGGGTCTAATCCACCCAAAGCATTTTAAGAAATATTTTCCCTAAGGGGAGGGGCAGGGGAGGGTGTGTGGAATGGATGTTGTTTGGGAAGGTCAATTGCTTCCCTCTTTCTTTTTTTAAAGGCACTTCCTTCTGATAGACTTTTGCTTTCAGAAAATACTTTGAGAAGAGATCAAAGCACTCTCTCCCCAACCCACTTTCCCAGTGTCTTCAACCCTTACTTCTCTTATCATCCACGCCACTGGGCTCTGACGCTCTGTATACAGAGCAAGGGCAATTGGCTTTGAAGCCCCGGATTAAGCCGGGCCAAATCCTTGCCTCAGAATAACAAACAATACAGGTTCAACAGGAGTTCTCATCGGTAGTTCATTTTTCAAACGCAAATTCACTGTCACTAACACAAGCAACATTGAACTCAACAGGCTCTGAAGGCTGATAGCGGAGATTTATCTGGTGGCAAAACCATGACCTAGGAGTAGGGCAGTCAGACAGTTAGGAAATTTTCCTTTGGGGAGGTTTATATTTAAATTTTTGTGGAGCTCACTTTTATCTGTGTTTGGGAGAAAATGCAGTTTCTCACACAGATCAAGCTTGGCAGGGATATGAGGAGAGAGTTCTGCTTGCTGCAGTCACCAGTATGAGGGCCCTGGGTGCAGAGGACTTAGAAGACAAGAGGCTGGCTGGGGAGGATTTGACCCTCATTTTATACCTAATATCCGGGGCTCCAGTGCATTCAGGAATGGATTAACCAGATGGAATCAGTCATTCAAAGACTATCTAATGAGAGAGACTCTTCTCTCTTTTACCTCCAGATTTTCAGTGACCCAGTGGTCTAAGACAGGAGGCTTGTGACTGAAGAACTCAAATTGGCCTGAGACTATTTATTATGACTGGCTCCTCTTCTCCAGAGTCCCCCTTTCCCTCAACCAGACAGCAGTTTTCATGTTCCTAACTAGTCAGCATCCTTAGGGCCAGATCACAAACCCATTCTAAAGAGAGCCCTGAGATATTAAAAAAAAAAAAAAAACAATCAAAGGGATCTCTCCAAGTTAGGGTCTTGTTCTGGGAGGAGGGTGCACTGGCTACTTGGTTATGTAGACCAGGTAATTGCTTCACATGCCTTCTCTGGGGTTTGTTTTCTGTTCTGTCAGACTCCTAGCTCTTTTATAGTCTATGAATCAATGATCCAAAACGCAGAAGAAAGGTCCAAGCCATTAGCTGAGAAAGGAGACCATACCAGGAAGGTTCTGGTAGAGACACAGAGTTTAGGGGAACTAGGAGAGGCACTGGACAGTGTTGAAGAGCCACACACAGGCTTGTACAAAGCAAAGGGCAAAGGGGGGCTGCATCCAGTAGCTGCCCTGGCTTTCTTTGCCCTGGCAAAGAAAGTGGCATCTAACTTGGGAAGAGGTAGTTTAGTGATAGCAGCTGGGAGGAGGACCTGGATCCCCAGCAATAAGGAGAAAGGGAAGAGGGAAGGAGGGAAGGGATGGGGGAGAAAAATGGGAGGAAGACAGGAAAGAAAGAGAAAGAAGGGAGTGGACAGCTTTGCAGTGGAAGCAGTGTCTATAAGAACTATAAGCAGTATCTATAAGAACTATGAAGCAAGCCAGGCAACTCATGTCTGTAATCCCAGCTACTCAAGAGGCTGAGATCTGAAGGTCTGATTCAAAGTCAGCCTGCTCAAGGAAGTCTGTGAGATTCTTATCGCCAATGAACAGTCAAAAAGCTGGAAGTCCGGTGGTAGAATGCCAGCCTTGAGCAGAAAAAAAAAGAAGGTACAGCACCCAAGTCTCGAGTTTAAGATTCAATGATGTTGTCACGAACAAACAAAACTAGGGCATGACGATGGGTAGTGACTCTCCGAAGGACTGGACTAGATGTCCTCCTTCCAAAGAAATGAAAGGCTATTCACCACTGCCATTTAAGAATTATCATTCCCAGAGACTCATCTCTAAGACTCCATTAAGAGCAGACACAAACATCAGCTTAAAACGGATTGCCTCTCCTGTGGGGTACTGAGCGCAAATAAGGAAGAGGACCATGCAGGTGCAGGGAACCCACCAAGGAGAGCCACAAATGCCTTTTGTTTAAAATAGCAGAAGGCAGGTATGCCCAGAGAACACGCTGGCCATGTATTTTCAAGAGACAAGGTTGTTTCTACTGCCTATACATGGAATTTCTGGATTGCTCTTTCTTTCCTTTCCTCTGTCCCAGCAGGCACAAGAAATAAATCCGCCTCTTCACACCTGTAGACCACCTGCCATTTTACCCAGCACCACTCATCTGTTCCCCTGGTTTGAGTCTCAAAGTAACTGGGAAGGGAAAGGGCATCAGGTAAATCTGCATGCAGTTACCATTCAGCTGACAGCATAGCTACAGGGGGTTAGTGACTTGGCCAACTGCACCCCGCTTGGGAGAGGCAGAGCTGGTGTCATCTGTCCCCCTCATCTGTCCCCAATGGTGGTTGCATAAGACACTTTCCCACCAGTCTCGGTCCCCTGAATACAGAAACTCTGGCCCTGAAACCAGTCTTGCTCCTTCCTTGATAGAGGATCCTGGAGGGCCATGCCATCTCCCAAGTCAATGAGGGTGGCCAAGTATCCAGACCGCCACCCTCAGCAAAATAAGGGAAACTTTGCAAGGCAGGCCAGCGAGCAGCCGGGAAGGAGCACACCACCCCTACGCGACACACAGCAGACCACCAGCTTTGGTTTCTTTTGAAGCACATGGTGCTAAGTGCTTTATGGACAACTGTACAAAGCAGCGCCTTTTCTTTTACAGATGGAATGGGAAGGGAGTGGGAAGGGGGCAAAGACCCTTAAGTCCCCAGTCTGAGGGTTGTACAGATGGAAATAGCCTCGTTGGAACTGGAACAGTCCTCTCTCCCTGGCTTTTGATGGTTCACCACTTGATTTCTCCAAAAACCTCAGTTATGGGCGTATAGCCAGACAAAGGGACATTTTCTCAACCTGTCCCTAAGGACCAAAATCAAATATGGACATGTGGGGCGGGGGGAGTTATACATGTGCACATGTCCTGAACATGAACTTTACCGTGTCCCCAGCAATCTTCCAGGTGAGAACTGTGCTGGAGCTGTTCAGGCTGTACCCCCAGACACCCTCCTTAGGGTGCCTCTGTCATCCACCCTGTCCTGCATGCAGTCTGCATCTTTCTCCAGTCTGCATCTTCCTCCTCTCACCCTCTCCTCCCTGGTCTCTCCCACAGACACCAGTGCATTTTAAAGATGTTTCCACTTTATAAATCACCCCTCTCTGGCAGCAGCTGGGGAGAGCTGCCCCCCCTCCTTCCCCACCCCAGACAACAACACACACACACACACACACACACACACAGAGCGCCTTCAACACACCCAGCACGGCTTCCCATTGGCAGAGGTGGAGTCTGCTCTTAAGAGGGGAGACCTGGGTTTCTTGCTGTTACCCAAATTGAAAAATGTAGTTATACCTACTATCATCTGAGGGGCAACTCTAGGTCCCCAATCCCACCAATCCAGAAAACCGACCCCCTAGTCCTCAAAGAGAAGAGGGCTCTGCCAAAAGAGCTGGTGCTGCGCTGTGGGGCGTGGCCACCCTGGTTTGCATGTCATTTACATAGCGTTGCCCCTCCCCTCCAGCCTCCAGACCACTTTCCCTCCAGCCTCAGCGGCTGGGAGATGTGGTGGTGAGATTTGGAGCGGCTGATCCTGACTCTCCTTAGGCCCCCTCAGGCCAGGACCCCAAAGGACTGTTCGGCGCCCCTTGGAGATGACCCTCAGGTCCCACCTGGTCATCTTCAGCACCCCCAGCCACACACCCACACCCACACACGTAAATCTCCCAGCGCTGACCTGCCCGCCTTGGTGATGATCATCTCGGTGCCCGCCTCGTGGAATTTCTTCCAGAGCTCCTTCTCATGCAACCCCACCTTGATGTTCTCGATGGTCTGGGGAGAGGAGGAAGGGGGAACACATGTCTGCCCGGCCCACGGCTCCAAGGAAAGGAGAACACAGGCCGGAAGAAGACGGAGAAAAGGGTGCCATTCCAGGAGCCCACGTTTGGAGATCTCGTTTCACAAGATTCTCTTGAACCATTAGTGAATGTTTAAAAAAAAAAAAATGTCATCGGCGGCTCAACACTCCCTGCTTTGGGTCTGCACCCACAGACGAGCCCGCAGAGGAAACTCCAGTATCGCGGTGGGGGGGGGGGGAGAGGGGGACACACTCTTGCACGAACATGAATGCTTCACGTGGCTGGCACAAGCCTGTGGACAGACCCTCGGCCACCGGGACAGGCGCGCACGCGCGCGGGAGGGAGCGCACCCGCAGCCCGGGCGGGCGCAGACGCACACAGGCTCCATTTGGGGATCGTGGATGACCCCGCAGCCCCACAGCAACTCCACCAGCGTGCACCCCCCCCCCAGCCTTCGCCCTGCCCCCAGGCGTCTCCCTTCGCTCCCCAGCCCTAGACTTCCTCCCCGAAGGCTCGAAGCTGAGAACACGAAACACGCCCAGTGATAACAAACTCGGCTGATCATTCCAGACCCAGCCGGGCCTTCCTACCCGGGAGTTCTGTCTCGATCAGACCGAATGACCCGCCATACACACACAGCCGACAAACCCGCACCCGCTGTCTTCCCCGACGGCTGGCCCAGCCCTACCTGCTCGGCGGTGGTAGCGGTGGCGACGGCATCGGCGCCGGGGCCCGGGGGGCTGCCCAGCGCGGCTCCGCTGAGGCCGGGCGCGGCCAGCGCGGGCTCGGGGGCGTTGGCGTTGGTGGCCGCACTGGCCTCGCCGAGCGCTGGGCCCGGGGCCCGAAAGGCCTCCTCGCTCTCCGACAGACCCTTATCCTGAAGCATCTCCTGCGGACACAGCGAGCGCCCAGTCACTCCTCAGATCCACACTCGCCAGAGGCCCGGGTGGCCCGGCCTGGTGGAGCTGGGGGCTTGGAGGTGGGCGCAGGGGCCTCCCCGCCGCACGTGGACCCCGCCCCCTCCGGAGCTGGGGGAGGGCGCGTGTGGGGAGCGCGAGGTGCTCACCTCCTCCCTCCAGGCTTTGAACCCCAGAGGGTCTGCGCGCTCTGGGCAAGGTCTGCGTGTCCCGGGGTGTGGGGCTGCGTGGTGAGTAGGTCTGGGGAAAAGAACTGCCTTCTCGGCATAGCCCCAGCTGCACCCCCAGACCCTCCTCCTGCTGGGCTCCCAGGCCTGGGTCTTGTGGGTCCCGGCCTCGCTTTATTTTGGGGTGTGTGTGTGGGAGGGGGGGGTCTGGGTCAGCCAGGACAACTCCCTGGACTGGTGGGAGGGGAGACCTAGGCCTAGAGGCTGCTCCTGCAGCTCCATACCTGCAGAGGGCCTGAGCTGGGTGGCCCTCGGGACCTGGACAGTTCTCCTTCCTCCACATCCACCCAACCCCCTCAGGCAAGAGTCGGGTAGGGACTTCCTGGCCACTGGGGTGTTTGCTCCTATTCATTCCCTGGGGTCCTAGCACTCTCCCACATCATCCTGCTCCTCCCCTCCCCAAAAGCTGCCCTCTCCTAGCTGCCCTCCAACCCAGGCCTCCACACAAGCTGGCTCACCCACTCACACTTTCCTTCCAAAGGGTCTGCTTTGGGCCAAAGGACCCAGACCCTTCTTGGCCGAAAAAAAAAATCAGGCCAGTGGAGAGTCTCCACTGCACAGACACAGCCTCATCCAGCCTCAGGCCCCGAGTCTGGGCCTGTTTACCCTCCTTCCCCTGTGCCACTACCTGCCTGCAGCTGGTCCTGAGACTCCAGAGGACAGCTCAGCTTGTCCAGTGCCCCGACCAGGCGCATCTTATCCCCATCGGAGGTGCGACCATTCCTATTCCCTCCGTGTGTGTGTGTGTGTGTGTGTGTGTGTGTGTGTGTGTTCTGCTGGGGTTTGTGAGTCTAAGGTTTTATGCAGGAATCTCTCCTTTCTCTCCTAGCTTTCTCTCCTAGTCTTTCTGTTCTATCCTCGGTCTCCCAGATGCAGGCCTCTAGCTCACCCACTTCATGAGTCTCCCTATCCCAGGCTTAGACTTCGGGCTCCCAGGGCCTCGGAAAAAATAAACAAGCCAAGTGCAACCGAAGAGATAAAAAGGGGCCCGGAGCAGCCGGGGCTGGGAAAAGCCCATAAAGATAAAGCTGACAGTCCCGTGGATCCTAGGCCACAGCCGGGGGTGAACAAGGCTGGCTGGACGTGGCCGGGGCACCCAGCACCCGCCTTGCTTGACGTCCGTGTCCTCAGTTGAGCTTCGAAACCCCAAGGGTCTCCAAAGAGGACAATTGTGCGCCCGAGTCTAGGTACTGGTGCTTCCTGTATGTTGGGGTCCAGCCAGGACTGGCGCCCGAGCACGGGCACTGGACGGCTCCAGAGGAGGGGCTGCCTAGGGCGTCGCCGAGATCTTCTGGGGGCGTCGGCACACCGGTGCTGGCGGTGTTGGGCTTCCCACCCCCGTCCCAGCCCCGCACTCTCAACCCGCCCGGCGCCCGGTGCTGCCCGAGTGCGCGCGGACGCAGGTCGGCGGCGCTGACTGCGCGGCGGTCCATTCCCTTCTTGGGCTTCGAAGCCTCCTTTTCTCCATCGCGGGGCTAAATTCTGACCGCAGCTCGGCTGCCCAATCTGAGACACCCCTCAATTTTTTGGGGGTGGTGGTGGTGCTGTTGTTCCTGTGGCCCAGCCCCGACCCCGCAGGCCGCTCGGCTTACTGGCGTGGTGGGTCTCACGGCGGATCCCGCGCCCCACTGGGTCCTCGGCCCGCGTGGACCCCTCCACGGGCGCAGACCGCGACCTATAGGCTTGGGCTCGTCGGGTTTGGCAGCCTCAGTTTCCAAAGAAAGCAGCACTTTTCTTTCCACATCCAGATGATTAGTGATTTTTTTTTTCTTCCTGCTGCACTGGAGAAATCTTTACCATTTTATACTATTTTAATATTTTATATTAAATACAGACTCGTATTTTGATCAATTCAGTAACATTTCTTTTACCCTTCCACGTGAATCATTTGCACCTTCATCTCTACCACTGCATGGTTAAAGCACTAGTTTAATCATGAGTTAGATTATTATTAAATACGTTGTTGCTTTTCTGTCATGGCGTCAGAATTCCAGGGCCTTCAGCGTAATAGGGTTGTCAATATCTTGGTCATTAGATACAATGTTCCAAAAGGTCCTACTAATGTGCCATTATTTGACTTTATCCTGTGTCCCTAAAATGTTTCCATTTCTAGCTCTTCACTCCAGGTCTAGACTTTTGACAGTTTCAGCAGATTTTTATTCCACATAACTTGAAATACTGTTCTCAATATTAATATTCGTTTACTCTGCATCTTTACTTTCCTTATGATCTTGCCATCATTTGTTTTGCTGAGAATGTTCACGTTACTCCAGGCGTTATTGTCCGTCATATCATTATAATACCTTACTTTATCATTTTTTTGTAATGGTAAAGATCATAATTGGCTAGTTATTTTTCCTCACATCATTATTTCTCCTTACTTTGGTGTAATATGGAATATTGCTTCAGCCCTCCATACTCTTCATTATCTTTCATCACATTCGTACAGTTATTCTTATTACTCAACCATTATTTGAATGTTATTGTGACTATTAATACCTTGGCTATAAATTATCATATTACTTCTGTAATCCTCCTTACCATGTCCTTACCTTAATATTGCTCTTAAGATTTTGGTTTGTTTAATAGTTCACTACAGGACATTAGATGATCATATTCTGTCAGTGCTAACAATAGTATTTTCCTTAAAAGTGTTTTTCACATTCACTTTTTGCTTCGTTGTCTGCGAGTTTAGGCATTTGTTACATCATTACTATTTGTTATCAACGATCGCCTATTGATTTTAATCTACTTATCATTTCTATATTTGCAGTAACTTTATCTTTGATCCTTTCAAAGCTCTGGTTATTATTTTTCATTTGATTGCGAAAGACTTTTTACTGTAAAGTCCAAGTGTTTTTAATCAGTTCTGCCGCCCAGCCTTGTTTTTTTGATAACTGCTCACATTGATAATTTTGACCACCTATCGTTACTTGTGTATAACATTTATTTAGTCTTGACGAGTCCATTGCATCAAAGATCCTGAAGTCCAGTGTGATCATTCACATTTCTGCACGGATTTCCGATTTTCGCTCCAGGACTCGAGTCCCCTTTGGCCTTTCTTATTTGGGGAACACCAATTTCAAGACCACGGATCCCCCAGTCCACCTTAACTTCAGTCCTGTGGTTGCTATGGCGCTGGCTCCGTGGTGCACACGCTCTGGGGTCCCTAGACCCAATTCGCTCTGTTACTTGGAAAGCGGGGCTGGCGCCACAGTTGCCTGCTTTTGGGCCGAGCCACCCGGCTGGAACCAGGCGCTCGCGCCGGGAGGTTCTTCTCGCCCCGTTCCAATTTATCCTCCTCCACCTCGCAGCCTAACCGGGGCTCCGGCTGACCCCAGCCCCCGAACTCCCACCCGTCAGCATCCCACTGGCACCCACACTCACCCTAACTGCGCTGCCGCATGCGGAGGCGCCTGCAGCCCGGGATCCACGGCCGGCTCGGACGCGGGGAGCAGCCGGGGCTCCCACTCCCGCCGCTGGGTCAGGGTCCCACTGCCCGCCGCGCCCTCGGGGCTGGACACATCCCGGCTGTGGAGCGGGCCCTTGATCTCCGAGGCTGCACTTTGGGGCCTCAACTCCCTCCTCCTCCTCCTCCCCCCTCCCTCCCTCCCTCCCTCCCTCCCTCCCTCCCTCCAGGGCCACCCCCCCCTTGCTCTGACGTCGCTGCTGTCAATCAGTCTGCACCCGCCGCCCCCCGGGGAGGGAGGTTCTAGGGTCCTGGGACTCCATGGTCCGCAGGTCCCCAAACTCTGCTCGGGCTGCAAGGTCCTCCGCCAGCGCGGCCTGGTGCTCTCGCTGCGGCCCTAGGGCGGGGGTGAGGGGGTGAGGGGGGGTGGCTCGGGCCGAGTGGGAGCCAGGAACCCCGCATGGTTTAGATTAAAGAGGCTGGAGGGGAAGAGAGGACCCGCAGCCAGGGCAGACCAAGGCCGAGGTCCGGCTCCCACCCGAGACGTGAGGACGAGGACGCGTGCCCAGCGTGGAGGGGCGCACGGCATCCACGGCTGGGCCTGACCTCCGTCGGGTCAATCGCTGCCAGCCACCTCCACCCGCTTCCCCGCCGGTGGAGCCCATCTCTCCAGGGGCTGGGGGAGGAGGCCCACGCGCCTTTCTACCCTCCCCTCCCCGCGTGTCGTTTCCCAACCGTGCCCACCCCGTCCTCACACCTGCGGGGCCCCTTGCTTTGGGCACCGCCCGGCTGCTTTCCAGCTCTTCTTAGTCCCGGCCGTGGAGGTCACCGGTGAAGGCTGGCCCTGCGGGAGCAGCAGCGGGCACTGGGACACTGCGGAGAGGCTAGGCCGGCCTTCGTGAGAGCTCAGGCCCAGGTGAGATCCAAGCCCTTTGGGGGAAACGTAATGAATGGAAGGCCAGCCGGTCCCCAAGATCCTGAAGAACACAATTCCTGCTCCAGTCTAGGAAGCCCAGATGGAGGAGCAGCCTGCTACAAAGGAGCTTGCTTTCGGCCTCGCAAAGTGAGGCCTGCGGGGCCGCCCAGACCTCCCCAGCCCGCCTGCCACCTTCTAGGTCCTTGATTTCTCTCCAGCTGTCTTTCTCTCCTCATAGTCCCCGGAAGCCCTCCTCACAGCAGGCCACATGCCCAGGATTCAGAGACAAGGATAAGCGCGCCCATCCATTCTCAAAGACTCTAGAATCCTCTGCCAATCCAAGTCCTACATTAGACCCTCAGTTCTCAGCATGAGCTGCATCCCCCCCCCCCTCTGTATTTGCTGGGGTTTCCAACC